CTCTTTCGTCAATGGGTTGCTGCCAACGCTTTTGCTTACATGAATATCAACGCCCATTGATAACTTCTTGTCGAGTTTGTAATTGGCCCACCACCATCGTTGCCAATTGTTTCCTCTGTAACATACACCATGAGCAGAAACATTTTCCTGAGTGCAATATAAAACCAGCGACTTTATGATTTGCAACTGTATCGCCGCTGAGATAAGACAGTCAAACTATCACTTTCCGTCCTCCTGGGTAGCCGTGGGTCTTGGTTTCGATACCACAATCTAGTCTGAGTAATTCATCGACTAAAGGTCGGAGGATATGACTTATAGTGGTCATGTCAGGTTGATCAGGAGCCGGAACCATACCTGCCAGGAAGGTGTGCTTCATCTGTTGCCAAGCCTGAGGTGGTAGATTTAAGCACTGCAATGATAATACCCCAATCAAGACTTGTCTTCCTGACCTCTTGTTTCCCAAGGGGTTGAACCAATCCACAAATAACGAAAAAGCCAATCGTAAGGGAGTATGCGAGGAAGATGTTGTATTTGTGGTGAAGAGCTTTTTGGCTGCTACACTTTGATTGTAATCATAAACTCCATCACCATTATCCGAGCTACATCCTTCACTCCAACTGTCAATAGAGTCCTCAATGTATGTAATTGATAATAACCAGGTCAACCATTCCTGAAAGTCTTGAATAATGAAAGTGGAGAGGGGTTTTCCGGAGAGTTGTTTGACAGGAGCACGGATTTGTTTTCCAGAGAGGCAAGTGATGGTCGGAAGTTTGGGTATGGTGTGACTAGAAAAGAGGTTGGTGCCACAGCAATGTTTGTCTGATGGGATTTCTCGATAGCCACATTCAGCTGGGGCGACCTCGGGCTCGTAGAGAGTGTAGCACTTGATACAGCATACAAATCTTTCGAGAGTTGATTCGAGATTTAGCCGATTCGACATTGTTCTTACGTCCTTTGGAACCAGGCTTGCCCATTCTTTGTTGAGAGTAATTATTGTACATAATTGAGCAATTTGCATAACATAATTGTGAGCTTTTCGGCAGTTATTACAACTCATTCTGCATTCGAGGAACAACCAGCTGATGAAATACATTATAAAATCTAGAAAACGAAAAGTATTTTGTTTGTTAGATTTGAACAATATATTCCATTGAAAGTTGTAACTTACAGACTAGTTTGAATACAGTAGGGTCGTCTGGGCCAACGATATAATTAGAACTTGAATCGGAATCAGAAGAAGCTTGCTCGGGTTCAGCATCTTTGATGCTTGCCTTCGAGAGAAAATCCTCGACTAGTGCCTCAAAAATCGGTGTGTTTTCTGAACTGGTGGCCAGCCTTCTTCAATGATTCCTTTCTGTTCCTGAATGAATCCATAATCCCGCCACTTCCTTACCAGATGAGTCGGTATGCTTTCTTTTAATACACTGAGAGCAGGTGCAAAGCACTAGTTCTGCCATGCTTGAACAGACAGAGGTTTGGTGACGTTGTAAGAGAATCAATTGAGGTTGTTGATTGATAGAGGTAGATATTGATCTTAGGATCCAAGTTGAGTATTGATCAGAGTCGAGCTTTGTTGAAATTCGATGAGCGACCAATTTGAGTATTGGTTTGAGTTGGGTATTGATTTGTCTTGATATGCGATAAAGGAAAATGAGGTGAGGAAAAGATGGAAACGTTGTAGGTGTTGCAAAGATATGGTGTGTCAAAGGGCGTGAGAGGCAGTGGATCAAAGGGCGTGAGAGGCAGGGTGAAGCTACAGGTGACGCTTTGGGCAGTGGGTAATGCACCCGGTGACGCTTCATGTGAATCTTGGTGACACTGCATGTGAAGCTCTGGCCCTGCCCCGGAGCGTGCGCATGACACTACATGTGGAGCGTTGCCGCCTTGCCTGGGGTGTTACCGGCCCTGATTGGCCCTGAGCAGTTTTCAGAGGTCCTTGGGCTCACTCAGGACTGAATTTGGCCCCGGGGCCGGCCCAGAACTCTCAGGGTCGGGTCACAGCCCTAGTTGGGACCACTTACATTTAACACCCTCTAAAATTAAGAAGCCACATGGCCAAGGCCAAACTGAGCTATGTTGTCAGCCCTGAGTACATATGTATGTACCCAAAGACTAACTTGTAATATACAACCAACACTTATAGAATCTAATTACATGTACATACAGCCTAGAAAACATATGTAACATGTCACAAAACATATACAGACCCTAATTACATATACATGTACATTGAAAACCACATGTAATATGTAATAAACATCAATTAGACCTCATAACTCAGTGTCAAGAGTTAAGATGCTTGTACTACATAACATACGCAACATGTATATGTAATTTAGTATCACTAATAATAATCATAACAATCATTAATAGTAAACCCTGAACCAATGTAGTGATATGAACAAATATCACTACAGTTAGGTTTAGAGAGGAAGGTATATAAACCCCTCCTCTCTCAGCCTTGAGAAGGATTTTCCCCCAAGCATTTTATTACAAACATCTTTTAAAGGACCCTTGTTCATTTGCAGTACATAATCAAAGGTCTTATAATTATAAGACTAATGATTCACTTCATATGTTGAAAGTAGCTTCCTGACTAGCAGATAAGGTAAATTTATTCTTCATCCCTTGGATCCTCTAATTTCCCTAAGTACACTCTTTCTAGGTTAGCAACCTTCCAATTAACTTCAGGTTAGTTACCTCTTGAACAATGGCAGTTTAGTGACCTATATCAACTCACAGGTTAGTAAGAGTGTACCTTTTGAACAAATGCAGTTTAGTGACCTAACTCACAGGTTATAAGTGTGCCTTTTGAACAACTGCAAGTTGGTGACTTTAGAACTACCAGACTAGTGATCTACACCTCACTATGCAATCTATTACCATAAAAGATCAAAGTCACCATGTCCGGATAGCGTTTGCTTGTTGACAAGCGCGCACGACTTCCCTTTCTGCCTCAAAGGGAGTCGGTGTGCGCTCTTCAACATGCAAACCCTAAACGGACATGGTGAGTACATAGAGCTTTGGATCCAGCTCTCTTATTTCATTATAATCAATGATTATGTTTCTTACCTCCTTTTAAGGAGTCATCTAACTGTAGCCTGTCTGGATTTATCCAAGGAGACTATCCATCCTGGTCTCCTCTTTGTTTTCTCTTATTTCATATTGTGATACTACATATTGAAATAAATGATAATTTAGTAAATTATCAAACAAACTTTATTTACCCTTTTAGTGATCACAGTACTCTCCCAGAGAGCCACCTACCTTCACCACCAACATATTTACCTTGGATTTTCAATCTGAGGTATTATTGGATTACCAACCTCCAACAGAAGCTGCCCAAGGTTTTGATCTGAGGCAATTCCCAGCGCAGAAGATTACCTCGGACAAAAACCTCAGACAGATCTTGTCCGAGGTTTTACCTCTGATGATGCCTCACCCGAGGCATCTATGTTGGCAGTGCTTCACATAAAAGGCCTGAGGCTTGAGCAATGGTACCCAAACTGTAAGGGTGGATTCAAAGTAGACTGTTAGGGTTATGGGTGTAATGTTTGGATCATGGGTTTAGATGGTGGTATTGGTTTTATGTGGTTGAATTCTCATCCACCTTACCAATTCTCCTTGTAGTTCTTTTACCTTTTCATTTCTTCCCTATCTCTTTTTATTATTATGTTAGTCTGATGGGAGCTGGTTTAGGTAGGGGTAGTTCTTTTACCTTTTGATTTCTTCTCTATCTCTTTTCAATATCAAGTTAGTCTGATGGGAGCTGGTTTAGTGGAATATATCGAGGGGATTTGAATAATCCTGCGCTCTTCTTAGAGCTTGTGCCAGAGATAGAACATAGCGCAGGTGGAGATATCACTCCACCCCTACACAAACACAGCCGCAGCGCGGGGGATTTTGGGTCCACAGAGCCAGTGGCGCAATTGACCACAGTTTTAGGGGGCCCTCACTGCAGCACTGCCGCAGGGAGTGAAAACTCCATGGGACCATGGCGTGCTTGAGACAATTGAAGCACACCACAGGACAACTCATGACAGGGTCTTTTTTACTGAAGATTCAAGAAAATGAAATCATTGCCAAAGAAACCTTTCTATCTACATTTGTATTCACTCTTTTAAATTATCTACAATTATGATTGAGTTTATTTTTCATCCAAGATCTCAGAAAGATAATCTTCCCAAACTTCTTTACCAGGTGAATAACTTTTCAAAAACAAAAAAAGAACCAAAAGAATATAATAAGATGAGATTTGAACAAACAAAGATTAAGAAAGTCAAAGATGATGGAGTCAATACAGATGTATACTAAGACTCAAGTGACAGAATGTCCCTTGCAGTCTTACAAATGTGTAATACATACTTTTGGGTCTCACTTGCTTGATTGGGACTTCAAGGTTGAAGACTGAGATGTTTTACACATCTCCTGTTTGGTGCTTTCTGAGATACTTGTCACTTTCACTTTCAACAGTTTAAACTTGAGCAAGTCTTACATGAAGAGAGAAATAAACTCTAAGGTGGATGTGATTGAAGTTTTGGGAAGCAAGTTTCTGACCATTTCAACATTAGATGTGGGATAAAGTGGGCACGATGTGGATCTGTGTGGAATTTTCAGAGTCAATGAAACACCCAAGTCTAAGACTAGGCGTAAGTTGGAGTTGTAGGATGAAAAAGGGAAAGGAACTGAAGTGGGAAATGATAGACAAGTGTTCCAATCAGATTGATGACAAAGTTTAACTAGATCAAGATGTCCAACTAATTGATCAAGCATTGGCGTAAAACCAGATCTACATGGCTTGAAAACTGACAAGACAATCAAAAGAGAAATGTAATCACTTTTTTGTGATCATGAGATTGAACAAATCACATGACAAAAAAATGTAGAATGAAAAGATCAAAAGAAAAAAAACCAAAGGTCATGAAGAGAAAGAAAAGTACACCGATTTTTCTCTTGAGGACCTAAGCTCCTTATATTTTTCGACAAAAAAAATCAAAGATTCAAGTTGGTTTACAACCGTTACATCCTATCACAAGAAATCAACACACGATCAATGATTCATAAAGACTTGATTTTAAAACTCATAAAAAATGAAATCAAGAAAGACTTACGGATGAAAGGAGAACCTTTAGGTATAGGACAATTATAAGTTTTACCATCAGCAGTACCACACTCTATGACCCAAAATTGATCCATTCCAAAAAAAAAACAAGTTTCAATCAAAATATAACTTTAAAAAAACAAATCTCAAGTATGGTTAAAAAGATTAAAAAAAAAATCGATAACTAACCGTAATAATTTTTTTGAAGTTTATAACCAGCGCAGTTTTGTTGACTCGTCAAAGGTGGCCATCCGTGTTGACAATCATGCATTGGAGCGTATTTGTGTCCTATGATTAATTTCAACCAAAGAAAAGTTTTCAAGAGCAAAAAAATTAAAGACTGATCAAGAATTCAATCACATCAAGTTTTAAAGAACTTCATCAAGTTTTAAAGAACTTACCTTCGTACGAACACTCTGATTGTGGACATTGCCATAATCTCTCTGCACTCTCAAAACAAACTTTTTTGTTTTGTGGAAAAACAAGAAAAAAATGTCAAATGAGTTAGTTTGTCTGGAAGGAACGGGCGGGTGAACCGTTTAACTTTCACTTACTTCCGTTTCCGTGGTATCCGTTTGGAGTGTATCCAATTGTACATGTAGCTGTGATGTCCACGAGTTGAGTGTAAACAGACTGGGTTATACAGATAGCGATAAAGATCATAAGAAGTTGGTGAGTTTGGAAAGTTAACATCTTGGGATATAGGAGAATGAAAATCAGGTTGCAGAAACCGGGGATGAGGTAGAAGTGCGACAGTGGAGGGACTGATGGTACTTGAATATATAGGGAATTGAGAAAGCGGGACAGACCTGGATAACCTCACGGGTCCTGTGCTTCGCCTTCAAGGTGGAGTCCTTTAGAAGGTATACATGCCATGTAACGGGATGCACCCTGTGACTCACAGTGAGGGTCAGATAGGGTCAGATCCAAAGTTGACAAAGTTCCTCGCGCCAAAGGCCTACCCGTTTCACCCTTTTGTGAGCTGTCGTGGCACCGCCAAAGTCCACCTGATCAAGCATCCCTTGGTATGTTACACCGCGGGAATCAATGGGTTCGAAACCCGATTGGAGAAAGTTGCGGTGACAGGGTCCGCAACTTGCTCCAAGCTGATTGCGTTCGCAATTGGTTCGCTGTACATCATCGATACCGTCACGGTTGCGAGCTATCAGGCTTTGTGCCGTGTTTCAACCTTGTTCAATTTACCTCTTTATGAGATATTGGAGCCTCGTTTTAAGATCAGACACGGCAAGCATTGTCTCTTTTGAACAGGTGACAAAACTTCTCAGGAGTACTAACCACAGATAAGTACCCTTTAGAGGGAGTATGTGCCGGGGTCCTCAGCGAATTTCTTTTAAAACAATGTTCAATCACACCGGATACATCTTCTGGCACAATGTATCGAGACCATTCGGAAGTGCTATCACGTGCCTAGCTGCTACTAGCTTTGAATGTGCTCTCTCGAGGGCGTACAGCGAACCAATTGCGAACCAATTGCGAACGCAATTAGCGATTGGAGAAAGTTGCGGACCCTGTCACCGCAACTTTCTCCAATTGAGTTTCAGACCGATTGATTCCCGCGGTGTTATAAGTAGAGATGCGATGAAAATCTCTCGGTTCCTCGCCCTCAAGGCCAAGTCCTTGATCAGAAGGCATATAGGCCATGTACCGGGATACACCCTGTGAAGGGTCCAGATATCTTGTTATACTAGGTTTCCCACCATCTTGTGACGCCACACCAGACCATTACATTCACATAGAGGAAGTTGGGTAGATGATCACTAACTTAGTCTCCTTCGAGGCCTAAAGAAAAGTGGTAGGCCTCGAAGGGGACTTGGTTAAGTTGGAGATGATCAGGGATTCATATTTCCGACGAGAATTCTCAGACCTCATCTGTCTTTACTCTCGAATTCGATTCTACTATCCTATGTGACTCAACATTCCAGGCCCTTTACAAATTTATTGATGTGGTATTATGACCGTCCGCTTTATTTTTTTTTGTCAATTTGATAGGATCAACTCCAATATATGTACTCAAAAACATCATTCATCATCTGATCCCACTACGATTTCTTTGTGAAGACATATCAACATATGGTAATGATTTCTTGCCTGAGGCAGACCTCTGTGATTTCCCATCTTCAGGTTAAGCTTGATCAAGATATTTTGGTTCATTGTAAGTTTTCGCGCGTGTGTTCACATCACCAATCCGTAAGCTATATGCTGAGGCTTGATGGGTGCATCTCTTCCCATCTCTCCTTGTCAAAGTTTGAGTGCTTTGTCTGTTGATCTCTCAAAGCTGCTTGTTTTCCTGGGTCTTTTTTTTATTTTGCTCATCACTTGCAATCTTACGTAGTCGGTGGTGTCTGTTGCTGGATCATCCGCAGGCGACCCACCCAATCTTTTAAACTTACAACTTGCCCTGATAACGCGCTTCCTCCCTGGAGGGGAGTACAAATGATTGAGACCTCTCATGGACACAAAATCTCGTATGAGATATTTGGTTTGCATTTTGTGATTTCAGAGTTTTGTAAGTTTTTTTGTTTTTTTTTTCATTCCAAAAAACAAATGCTACAAGTATTCAAACCATTTCAAAAAAACAAATGATACATGATAGATTATATGAAGTATATATGATCTAATGACGAAACCAAAACAAGTTGCTGTATCTGAATGTCTTGAACAATTCTACATGAAAAAAAACATTAAAAGTCTATCTTGTAATTCATCACGTCATTAAACAAAGCGAAAGTAAAGCAAAAAAAGAGAATTTGAAAATGCCTAAAGAAAATAAGAAGTTGAGAAAAAGAAATTACTAAACAAAAAGAAATGAAAGAGATGAAGCAAAAAAAAATGCATGCATAGATGAGAATTTGTGAAACCAATTGACCTGCAAAGAAATCCACATTAGGAAAAAAATAAAATTGGGGTTTCCAAGCCGTTACAAGAAAGACTTGATTGAATAAGAATAAATGATCTATATTTTGTTTCTTTTTAAATGAGAATCGAACATGAACCCATCATCATGATCATCGTTATAGATCCCAAGATGAATCCGATCCATGAAGGCTTCAAAGTAGATTCCGAACCGGAATGTTTTGATTTACTTTTAGTTGAATGATCTTTAGAAGTGAAATTAGAAGTAGCAACGGCCATCGGAGCAGGTATAGATGGAAACGGATCGATATCAGCCGAAAGTTGAGCAAATCCAACCGACGGTGGTGAAGCTCTAAACGCAGCATAAACGTTTTTCTACCAAGAACCATGTGAAAATCAGTTTGGTTATTCGTTTTGTTTTTCTGTACATTTGGTTTGATTTGTTTACACTTCAGATCGGAGGAAATCCAAAAACTTACCAAAAATGCTGCACCAAAGATCCATTCTGGAATCGAACCACCTGTTTTAGATTTAGTGATCGTAAAAAAAGATGTTAAACACTTCGATCCACCTGAAATCTTTCCTAAATTAAACTAATGCAAAGGAAAAAGCAAATCGGTTGATATCAAATTAATGACAATTTTTTCGAAAAAAAAGGATATGAAGAAGAAGAAGAAAAAGAAATGATTGATTGACTAACATCTGATGGATCTATGGAATAAGACATTTGACCGAATTGAACTGCGATCTTCACCTTGGTTTTACAAGGTACAGTCCAATACCTAAAATGAAGAATAGATCGAATGTTAGTACATATATACCAGGATAAGATCAAAGTGGTATCAACCAATTTTCAAGTATATATATCAAGACACAAACCCTTTAAATGTACCCGTTTCCATAAGTTCAGAACCAGGTATAACAGAAAAGATCGTTCGAAGTGCATCTGCTGGTGCACCAATCAAAGAAGTACCTAAAACCAAACCAATTCCTAAATCAACTCCCAAACCCAATTCTTGAAAATGTTTCCATGAGAAAAAAAACCATCCGTTTGTTTACCTGTATCGATGGCCACATCAGGTTGACCGATTTCAACTTGAGTACCACCTACAGTTAAAGCTGAGAGTGGTACGAGCCAATATGTTTGATTTTTCGAAAGTGGTATATAATTAATTTCACCAACATAAAGTTTTTTATTTGTACCACCAACTGTCATTGTACCACCAGGTGCAGTAGCTAGAAAGAAAGAAAAAAGGAAAAAAGAAACATCAAGAAAGCATCAAATTTAATTCGAATAACTCACATATATCAAAAAAATAAACAAATGTTGTATGATCCAAAGTAAGAAAAACTTACTGGTAGGTCTGAAATTAATTAATCTTTTTAAAGCGAATCCCATCACAGGTTCTTCCAAAACGTCTTGCATAAAAAGCGATTGCCAAGCCGGTGTAGAACCACTAGTAGCAATCCCAGCCCAACCTAATCCAAGTATCCCAGAAGTATCAAGTCCAGACCTCAAGATGTTTTCCACAATATCACAAGTTCCAATAGTTTGACCTGTGACGGTAAAGAGTCCGACAGAAACGATATCGGTTCCCAAGTTTCCGGCTACTCTACCTGATCCATAGGTCACTTTGAAGGGTTTCGTTAGGTTGCTGTAGGTGCTTGAGTCTTGGGTTCTGAATTTGATTACTGAGCTTGGACATCCATTGTCGCCTGTGCAGGCTGAATCGGCTACCCATAGATCAGATGATCCAGTGTCCACTATTCATCACATCAAAAAGAATCCATTAGAATCGGTTCATTTCCAAGTGTAAAGAGAGTTTGAGAATTGATATAAGACTTACTGATGACCTAAAGATCCATCCAAAATAAAATAAAATCAATCAATCAATCCAAACTTCAGGATAACATAACGAAACCGGATCCAACAACTTACATTGAATTGTTGAGGAGGTGTACCAATCGAAATCGAACCGGTATAAATCGCATCTGAAAATGCATTCACTAATCCTAAATCACTAATCTGTCTTTTTTTTAATTCATTAGACAGATCACTCTTTGAAATCGATCTAATCTGATCTCCATATCTAGATTGTAACTTTTGAGCTGCTTCAATGGCCCATGAACCAAGTAAATCAATCTCACTCACTCCACCCTCCACACCTCTATCACTACTACGTTTGATTAAATTTATATCTGATGGTCTTCTAGATTGAATATTTAATTCAATGTCTAATGAACTTGATCTTTTTTTGATGGCTTGTGCTAAAGTTTTTGAGATGATTAAAATGAGATTTAGAATGAAGATGAATGAAATCCATTTGATTTGATAAACGTTCATTTCACTTTTTCCAAAAAACCAAACCAAATCAAAACCAAAAATAATCTCTCTTGATGGTTTTTTTAGTCCTTAGAACTACTGCATCAAGAGAAAGATTCTTTGAATTTTTTGTTACTCTTTCTTTTATGAAAAATCAAAAAGTTTCAAGATGGTGAATGAAAATCCTTTAGGATGATTGATGAAAGTGCTTCAAAAGTGTTTTGTGACCGGTAGGTTCAGGACAAGAAAGTAGAAAAGAAAAGAGTTCAAGTCTAAGGTCTAAAGAGAGAAGAGAGACATGGGTGAACATTTTGAAAGATAAGAGTGTATGAACAATGAAGAAAGAATGACAAACCAAGGGTTCAGAAGCTCGAATGAGAATCAAGTTTCAAGAAAAAGGTTCTTATGATTTGTTTAAAAGGATAATCAGTTTACCATTCAAGTCATCAGTGATTAGTGATGATTATAGAGACTTACTTGAGATCGTAAAGGATAAGAATGAGTAGAAGTGAAGAATGAGAATTGTCGAATGAATAGACAACTTGAACTCATAAGTATGTGATGGATTGGATTGATTCGAAAGATTTTAATCAAATATGTAGTGAAGAAGAACCAGAAGGTAAAATGAACGAAGTGTGTGTATCCTAAAAAAATTAAAAGGACAACCCAAAGATGATGTTTGGTGATCAAGCGAGAGAGAGAGAGAGAGCCGTCCAGCGGTTGATAGGAAAAGAAAAGAGCAAGGAAATCAAGGGAAAAAAATAAATTGATGAATGAAGAAAACTTGAAGTAAAAAGAGAGTGATTTGTTGGTAAATTGATGAAAATCGTTAACTTGACAACATTTTCAATTCAAGAAAGCATTCGATTATTACCTATTAGAAAGAAAGAAAGAAAGAAACAAGTAAGTCAATAGGTAGTTTTTGATTAAGATTCTTGACTGAGTGATGATCGTTAAGGAAATCAAAGAAACAAAGAGATAGTAAGCTGGTAGTTAAGTTGATTCGGTCGATAAGAGTGATTTGGTGAACAATCCGATCAAAGTTGACTGATCCAATCTTGACTGAAGATGCTATTGTCATGGTCATGGTCATGGTCATGGTCATTGGAGATCGAAGTCAATCAACCATTTTTCATCATGTCTTTCAATCAAACTCGGATCGAAATACAAAATGATATTCATGGAGCATCAAAATGATGGTCAACTCAGGATGAGAACCTCAGATTCTTGGAAAACAAGGGAAAACAAGCTGAAGCACATTCCTATATATCTGAAATATTGGTGGAGATGAGTTAAGACTGAATACTTTGTTCATCCTTTGTTTATAAAGCTTGTTGACCGTGTAACGATTGGCCAACTTGTCAAGTCATCAATCAAATTGTACTCGAATATCAAGAATCCCATTCACATCACAATTATCTTGAGAAAGATGAATAGAACACAAGAACAAGAACCAGAAAAGTAAGTCAAACTAATATCATCATTCATTCATCCAGTTCTCAATTCTCAATGCCAAACTAATATCACTCCATCATTAACAGTGATAACTCAAGAAAATCATTACAATCCATCATAGATCATCAACAAATCATCATGATCAAACTAACACCATTACCCTACAAAACCACACTAGACTCGCTCACTTCATGGATCTTATCATTATCAGACCCACCTTACACCTTACGAAAACCCAGAATAATAGACATCAGTCAAGATTTCCAAGAAGGCTTATTAATCTATAATGACATAAATGATCGATTGATTGATGATTTGTTTGATTCAATCTTTCAATTAAACCAAATCCAAGTCAATTCGTTAGAAGAACAAAGATGGATTTCGGTTGGAGCCAATCATTATCATCATCCTAACTCTCGACGACGACTTGATCCTATTCGGTTTAAGTTTATGAGTTCTGGGTATTTAGATACATCGGTTTTAGGTTTATATTCTTCTTCTGATCTTTTATCTCGTGAAGATGATCAAGATCAAGAAAAACCCAAACCCAAACCAATCAACCAATCCACTTCAACTTCAACTTCCACTTCCAAATCGAAAGCTGAATGGAATTCAATTATCATTAAACAAAAAAAAATACAGTTAAAAGAAACTGAACAAAACATTAAACAACAAAAACTTAAAGAAGATGCCATCAAGTTAATCCATCAACGATCCAATCGACTTTCACAACATCAAAAATTAATCAATTCAGCTATCAAAAGAAAACATGATTCTGATCTAATGACTTCTACTTCTGGTCCTTCTGCTTCTGGATCTGGATCTGGATCTCATCAAGAAAACTTATAAAAACAAATGAACAACATTTGAGGATTGGTCAAGTCTGTTTACATATATATATTGTGTGATTTAATTAAACAACGTTTGGACTTGTTGATGACCTCTTTGAGTTATTCAATTTAAAAATTTATAACCTCTTTATCCTACTTTGTAATACTCAAAGAAAATACCACCTCCAAAATCGACTTCAGTCTCTCAATGACCTTTCTTTTAAAAGAGAATTACAAGTGAAGCTCAATGACCATCCAATATTTCTACAAATTTCTCTTGTAGCTCGATGAATATCTTTCATTTGGATTACTTTCTTAAAATCTGATTAATTGACCTTTTGTTCCTACTCAAAATCACTTTCCATTCGGGAATGAAAATTAAACAGTCTTGAAAAAAATGGAAATCAAAGTTCAAGATGTCAAATCATGCCTTATAAAGGAGCTGACTAATTTCATATCTTGTCTATTTAAATCTGATTCCAAAAACAAGACTTCATACAATATATTCTCAAATCTTATAAAGAAAAGGTATCTTTTCTTGAAAAGATACTTAAATCAAATCACAATAGATTTGAATACGGATTGTCATAATAAAAGAACTCAAAAAATGAGTTTGTAAAAATCCAATAGATTTGTCTCTTATTATCCTATCATCTATTGAACCCATGCAACTGATATTATAACTTTTCATTGAAGTAAAAGTAGGTATATTGAGCATTTCCAAACTATTAAACCAAAACAATCCAAAGCAAATCATCCATAAGACTTTTATCGATGATTTCCAATCTCTTAAATCAGCCAAAAACAACACACACACACACACACTTTAACCATCTCAAATCAATTCTTCCAACTGAAGACCCAAAACAAGACGAAACCCCAAAAACCAGTTAAAATCTTTTCTACAAACAGTTGGCCAAGGGAAAATCAGAAAATGATCCACTTACATCTTCACTACTTTATCTCTTCCACCACTAGCCACTTTATCTGCTACGAAATCAACACAATACACTTCATCTGTATGACCAGGTAAATCGACTTTGATCTTATGTGTTCTTAAATCCCAAAGCTAATCAAACCAAAAACCTCAAGAATCAGAACCCATGACTCTGATCATCAAAGCCTTAAGCAAGACTAGTTTATGTTCAAAGAGAAACCAAACGAACCTTCAATGTGGAATCTTTACTTGCACTCACTAACAATCTTGAATCACAACTCCAAGACAATCGATAAACCGGTGCAACATGACCTCTAAGAGTGGTGATGAATTTCCCAGTTTGTCCTTCCCATAATTTCACATGGTTATCGAACCCAGCCGAAGCAAGATACTTTCCATCTGGACTAAAGCTCACATGGTTCACTTGTTTTTGATGACCGGTAAGACGAGCAATCGGTTTTTTGGGAGTCAATGAATCCATTGGAGACCATAGAAAGAGTGTATGATCATCTGATCCTGAGATCAATAATTCTTGATGAATCGATTTGAAGGCTTGGTACCGTTTCAGAGCGATTTGTTGGGATTGATCATCGGTGAGTGACGGATTGAATCCAGTATGATCAAACGGACCGGTTCTTAGAATATAATCGGTGTTTAAGGCTAAGGTGTTTACCCAATGAGAATGTTCATTAAGTGTTCGAATCAATTTCCCATTCGATCCATCCCAACATTTCACCGTTCGATCTGACGAAGCTGTATACAAGATACCTTCTCCACTCCATCTCACCACATTCACAGATGCTGTATGAGATCCGAGGGTGAAATCGGTTCGACCACTTCTAGGATTCCAAACCCTTACAGTTCCATCTTTTGAAGAACTAGCTAATCTAGTGGTCTTGGCATTCAAATGGATCGGTTCCCAAGCCAAACTAGTGATCCATTTCGAATGTCCTTTTAAGGCGTCTCCTAGAGGTTTTCCAGTGATAGGATCCCAGATCCGTACTGTGTTATCCATACTTCCGGTAGCTATCAGTCTTTCACATCCATCCCATTCGATACATAATAACCATCCCGTATGTCCTACTAATCGATCTTTAGGCATCTCAGTGGAAAGATCCCAAAGTCGACATGTATGATCACCTGAACCTGTGGCCAAGAATCGACCGGTAGGAGAAAAAGCAGCACAAAGGATTGGAGCTGAATGACCTGTGAATCAAGTTGAGGAACGTTAGTCAATTGAGTTCGATCCATCAATCCATGATTTGAATCTAAGAAAAGGTTTGAAAAACTGACCTGAAAGACTACTACTACATCTTCTTACTTCTCTGACTCTAAAGATCGCTTCTGGTTCACATTCGATTAATAAAACCTCTTCATTAGAAATCAAATTAGGATACTTTAAAATCAAATCTTGTGAAATCGAATGATAAATCGGAAGTTTAATCTCTTCATCTTTTCTTCATCTTTTGGTAAATCTTGTTGGTTTTCCAATTTCGAATGTAAGTTTATATTCGAATGATTCTTAAGTTTTAAACAAAAACTTCTTCCTCTTCTTCTTCTTCTTCTTCTTCTTCTTCTTTTTCTGTCTTTTTAGGTTTCTTGAAACTTTCTTTTCTTAATCGGTTCACAATTAATTCTAATCCTGACTTATCTGTATGAGCTGGTAATGAAAGACTAGGTCCAATTAATTTTCCTGTTCTTGTATCTTTTAATTGGATGATCAGATTGGGTAAATCAATGGGGATCACTTCGTTTAGTTTGTTGGCATTTTGTTGAGCTAGTTTGGCTTTTTTCTTCGGTGGTGGTGGGATTTGTGTGGACATTCTTTTTCTTTTTGGTTGAGCTAAATTCGGTTGAAGGATTCGATGGTCGTTGTCTGCTTTAAGTTAACTGGAATATGGTGTGTTGATTCAAAAAATTCGGTTTGATAGTTTTTAAAAATGTTTAGGGCATTTTTTGCATTTTGCAAAGTTTGTGAAGAGGGTGGTATGTAACTTTGTATGTAAAATTGGTCATATGTAATTCGGATTGATCACGTGATCATCTTTCATTCTTTCGTTGAACTTCAAGCCTGGGTTTCAAGTTTCAACTTTTGATTCAACACATCCTGGACCTGTTCATGAATCATGATTAGTTTGATCTCTTCTTCCACTACTTCAACGGTAAACTTATCAAAGTCCACCCGCCCGAGTAGTCAACGGAGGGACTTATGCACACCCAAAGTCCCCCTTATCAACTCACAACAGTACATTTTTTGTGCTGTATCACCAGTTTCTTCAAACATCACAATTAACAAAATCTTTCATCATTATTTTTTCCATCATGTCCTGATTCTTCATATAAAGGCAAGCAAGATGATGTGCTACAATTCCATCTGTTCCATACTTTTCCATCCCTTGAGGTTGAAAATCATCATTGAACTACCTGTAATAATACATAAAATTTGGCCCATGATTTTGAACACAGCATTTTGAATTCTGCAATCATCAATAACTTTCTCACTTCTGAAGCAAAGCATTCAATTTTGAGTTCATTGGAAGCCAAACTTCTCCTTTGAAACTTTTATTGTATCACATCTGTAAAGTCCTATTCTGTGTCTTGCACACTTTGAGCCCAGCAAGCCAATTATGACAATGGACCATGTTTTGCCTGTGAGGGGAATCAGTTTTGGCAGGAGAGATTTGCCTTCCTTGTGAACCTTTTTTCCCATTTGTAATTTTTACACTCCAAAATCCTGAACTTCAGAAGAAACCTGAGAGAGCATTCCGTGTCTTCAAGAGTCAAACATAAAGTCTCTTGGGTCCACAAAAATTCACAGGCAGGGGGAAAAGATTTGTGAAGACAGCAACTTTCTCCAGCCAACTCTCATTCCCCTCGCAGGCCAAAGGGTGCTCCATTTTCATAAGTCCTTTCTGTGTTCAAAGTGTGCAAGATACATGAGACTTGGTTGAGTTTACAGACCATACCTTATCTGGTTTTTCTGCAAGTCAAGGGCAAGTCCTATATATAGTTTACTTTCACAGGGTTATAACTATTCAGATCATTCAATCAATTAAAGATGGATCTTATCATACAAACAAATCAAGATTGATTTAATTATCTTATCTTAATGATATAGTAGGGACATACATTTTTCACAACTTTGATAAAACAGAATAACTATAGAAGTCTCATGTGGTTCTTTTACTAGATTCCTTGCAGTAATTTATGCATCGTTTTGGAATCTCAAGTTTGTAGATCTCTTTTGGATGAAGAAAGTGATGGGATCAAGTATCAAGTTGGGCTAATTTGATGGCATCAGCATTACCTGTTTGAAATTACAAGGTAACAAAATCAGACAAATCAAACTTCAGTTTCTTAAACTCAAGTCACATATATCTTGAAACTAAACAAACCTAAAAGCCAAAATTCATGACCATCTTTTCCAGAAACCTTTGAGCCAATTCCGTGTTTTTCAAGTCCAGAGTAACCTAAAACTCCAGCCTAAGTTTTCATGTGGAATGATCAGTTTTGTTTACCTCGAAGCTGTGGCTGCATTGACGAAAACAGTTCTCGAACCTTTGAGATAGCTAAGCCGAGTGAAGATACTGGTATTTGAGCGGAATCAGTGACAAAGGAAGCTAAACCCATCACCTTTCTTGAAATCAAAAATCGCATGTTAATCTTTACTGATGTTACTCAGAAGTCTAGAACTAACGATGACATGTGACTAACCCAAATATGGACTCCGCCATCCTACTCTCATTTCGGTTTGTGCCAGCCAAGTAACCGGGTCGGAAAACAATAGTTTGATCATATCCTAACGCGCTCAATTCCAATTCAGTCAAACCTTTACTCTTGGGGTAAAGAAATGGGCTAGTAGGTGAAGCTCCCGATGACTATTTGAAAAAAGCATATAAATAATCGAATCGGATTAGTGAAGAAAATCATCAACCAAATACTGATAGAATAGAGTTTTGCAACTTGACTACTAAACTGATAAATAAACTAATGTTTGAGGCTTTTTATTCGTATCACGTGCTAATTTTGCAAATAAAACTGGATAACCTCGATCGATAGTTTCAAATCTTTCAGCAGATCCTGCATTCTTTCTTGTGGTACCAAGGGTGATCTGATGAGACCGAATAACGGCAAAAGAACAGGTCAAGAAGTCAGCAAACGTTTTTTTCGATACTCGATCCAAGATTTCAACCAACATAAACGATATCGTTATCTTTCATTTGATCTTGATGTTTAGAACATTCATCTTCACCAGCTTCTAAATCAATAATAAGCGATTCGTTTAATTTTTCTTTACCGGTTAGATTTGAATCTAGTACACCACTATCGATAGCTGATCTACGACCAGCATCAGTTATATTAGAGATCGATGGATTTAACAAAAGATTTGTGAGTAGATGTCGTCCTGTTTGACCAGTTGCACCTAATGTCATCACCTTTAGTTGTTTCGACATAGTTTCTTTTCTGAAGATTTGCCTAGTGGTATGTGACGATGATTATAAGGCAGGCAAAGAGGTAAACAGGGTCAGTAAGAAGTCAAGATGGAACAAAGGCTTAAAAAGGCAAGATTATGTCACAAGAGAATTACAACACAATCACAACATACAGCACAGCTCACAGCTCACAGCGTTCGAATTGAAAGCACATGAAATCCCACGAACTTAATTCCTCATTTGGTAAATCATGCAAGGATGGATGTTTTAGAGGGGTAAACTGAAACGATGACATGAAGTTGATTCCTGTACAGCCGTTTTGACAAACGATTTTTTAATTCGCATCGCCGCAGTTGTCATAACCGCACAAAAATTGTGTCTGGCAAAGAAACAAAGCTTGGTCAAAAAGAAAAGCAGGTTTTGCATCATGAAGCACTTTCCAAAAGAAATCTTTGTATCCTTTGAGCCTGAAGAAAAAGGATATATTTGAGTAAGGACTGCTTTAACAAATTAAACAAGAGAAAATGCTGAGTACAATCTATACACTTAATGTAAATGCTACAGATGCCCAAGGTCACAACAATATCTGTGTACTTTCATGGAAAGAACAAATGACCAATGTATCAAACACAAGTGATAATAGAAGTTATAGGTACAAAAAAGCTGACACTGTCAGTGTATATCTTTTCCAACTCAAGTCAAGTTGCAAGATCTTACAGGGGAGTTTTGACCTTCCGAATTTGGTGCTCTGGGGTGAGACTTGCCAATCATTGTGTACTTTGGGATTTAGAGCAGGAACCCCAAAAACCTTGCTCAGGAAATGTCCTACAGTCTCATCTCTACTATACTTAAAACACCACTCAATTTTTGAGCAGACAAAGCTGTTCAGGATTATGAATGGAATAAATATTGTCTTTGGAAAAAGTTTTTTGGCCCAATATTGGTCTTCTTGCTCTTGACAGAGGCCCAGGTGAGGTCTTTTAAGTACAAATGATTTAGCTACCACTTACATCCAGCTAAAACTGACTTGAGTGGCTTTGGATGTGTTCATGCTAACAAATATTTGAGAGGTTTTACTTTTAGCAAAACATGTATTGGATCAAACCTAAATTTTATCTTTCAAAAACTTATTTTCTTTCCTTGGAATGCTTAGAGTGGACTACAAGAGATTTGGCTTGCCTCATGTGTGATGGGAATGGGCAGCTCCAGTTACATGGGCAAGGTTTTGATTGAGAGGAAGTGGGATATTTTGAAGTGCCACAAAACCTTCACATCAAGCTCAACTTTTGGACCCCCAGCTTGCCCACCAAGACCAGCCAATACATCATGCATACTCAGCCTTTGGGTAAGCTTATGCTACATAACTTGGTACCCCATATGTTGATCCACTTTGAAAGGAAGTACTCTGATATATTGATGTAACATCAACTTTTGATAAAATCCCATCAGAGGCATATTCCAAAGGCTTAAGCTATCTCAGGTCATAACAAGAGGATGTAAGACCCAGTTCTTACACAGCGCTCAAGCCATCCAAAGCAGTCTGTTTCACATGAAATACACACCAAAATATGTAGAAATATTTGGTGAGCAACATATGTGAATTCTGGAACTGGACCAGGGCCAGCTCAAAGCTGTATGCAATGCATAGGACTGACACTCTTGGGGCCGGAGCTCCAAAAGCCTGGGCCCGAGACGGGGCCTTCTGAGGCCCCTCAGGCTACGTCCAGCGGACCCGGGGCGCATGCTGTTTGCTTTCAGGGGATCATCGGGCAGGCTCGGCCGAGCGGAGCCAGAGCCGGGTCAACACTCTGATGCACATCCATTCCACATTGCACCCTGGCGAAACATACCGGAAGGAATTATGATGACTGTGAGATCACCTTTGTGACTCTGATCATCTCAAGGTTTGCTGCAAAGTGTTACAATGTCTTCAGCGAAACATGTATGTGATTACTTGATCAGATACATTGTCTCAGTTTGTTTTTTAATGAGGTTACATGGAGATTTTGGATATATCATCTTGCTATTCTCAATCTAATCACCCAACCACAACGCCCCACTGCCAGACAACGGCAATGGCATACAATTATTTTCTAGTGCTCCATCTGCTCGCGATAATAATCCCTTCAATTTATTCCCTTCATCTGTATAAGCCTCTATCAGATAGTTCTTGCAAGGAGGTCAAAGAAATTGATGAAAGGCTTTCCGAACCCTTTCTTCCAACCTCTTACCAAGCAGGAAGCAGTACGACAGCCCTCGGAGGTGTCAAGTCTATCCTTGATACAACAAAAGAAGTACTAAAAAGTCTGTTGAATCCCCATACATCACGACAATATAAGCTTTCAACCAGTTGGGAAGTCTGCTTTGATATCTCTACCAAGGCTTTGGAATCATCCGAGTCACCTGAAGTGAAATCAATGGCCAAAGCCGTTATGAAATTAGGCTCTCAATTTGATCGCCTTGATTATAATCCACAAAACAAAATGGACCAAATTATATCTACAATAAACCTCTTCTATCTTGCTCTTCAGAATGATTCGATAAATATGGCTGAGCGGATTTGGTCTGTAGTAGTTCTCTCACTCCTAAGATTAAAGATCCCGGAGGATAAAACCCCTACGATTCCCGGTGTATGGGAAGCGCAAGACTTGGGTCGGCCTCGGGGACACTTTTTATTATTTTTTCTACAAGGTATGTAAGCTCTTCATCACTTGAAGAGAATGATCTTTCCATGCGAACTAAGGCCATGATGTTGTGTGTACATGTGTATTTCATTGATAAGACAAAGATTTGGGAAAAGTGATTCAAGAGATGTGGTCAGATTCACACCTGGAACCATCCGAACATGGTAAGTCACCAGTATTGCTCTGTGTATGTGTGGATTCTAATCATCTTTTATCTCTAGTCATTCAGGAGGCTATTCAGAGGGAATCCATAGTGCATCAAATCCAAAGACAAATGGCCCGATTTCACCCATCGAAGCATTTTCAAACGATCTATCTCGCTTTCATCAACTTGGAAAGTCCAATAGATTCGCAGGAAGCCTTATCATTGATAGAATTGATCAGAGATCATCTGGATCGACTAGAAACACAAAACAGGAATGGATTTGATGAGGAAAAAAATACAATTAGATTGCTATTACATCTTGAGGTACATGATCAGGGGAGTTATTTGAAATACAAAGAGTTGATCAAAAAACCAAATTTTCGAGAAAAGATGCTTGCTGTGGACGCAAGCATTCAACTTGAAGAAAAACTCCCTCCAAGTTTCAGTGATCTTTTGAAACAAATTCATACCACCAAGATTGTTGATACAGAACAAATTAAAAACGCCTTGCGATACGTGGTAAAAGATGAACAGATCTCGACTTCCCAAGCAGGAAGATGTTTGAGAGTATTAAACTTACTTTATAAGAGTGACACAGTGTCAAACGCATGGCTCAATAATCATTTGGATAAATATCCTCAAATTATTCCAAAACTCTACGAAAAATTACTGAAGTACCGCCATGGTCGAATGGATCCAAATTGGTTTGTTTCGAGAGATCTTGAGTCTATGATCTTTAATAAACGTAAGTTGAGGTAAAAGGTCACTCAAAGATGAATGACCAATCACTCATAAGTATTTGTTTTGGGCTCTATTGAAGACGAGGATCAAGTTGCAGAAAAGTATAGAATTGATCTCGCAAACGTTTTGGTATCCAAAGGTGTTCTTCACAAACGTTGCACCACTGGTCCTAGCCCAAATGAGAGTAGACTGGTCAAAGAATACATGAACAATGTTAGTTTATATTGGATTTTTCATAGGATGTTGGAGTTGAAAGCCAATTCAAACGCCGATCAAGATCATAATGCGGATTATGTCATTGTGGAATACATCCTTCATGTTATATCCTTCAAAAATAATGACAAGAAGCTATACCGACATCTTCTGGCTGATAAGCATGTCCCAGAGATCTTCCCCCTGTATTATACTCTTGTCTTTCAAAAACTCAGTAAGACAGTCTTTAGCTTTGTTTACGATCAGTCTTGGGAACATGGTGGCCGAATCGATATCTTTACAGATGCTATGAAGAAACTTGAAAAGGTGATCCTTTGTCTTCTGTACCCTTGAAAAAAATCCATTTGGAAAGATACTGATAAGAAACATGGATCCCCAATTTGCCAGAGTTTATCGGAACAAATTGAAGAAAAGAAATCACTAGTTTATCTTTGCTGAGGATCTCAACATGTGGCCTCGGGTTTTAGAGATGATACAAAATGACTCATAATACCTTCCAGAATATTTCGTTCATGTTTTTTAGATCACAATTAATTGGTTGACCCTGTACGGCAGCAAAGGATTCAATCTTTGTAGATAATCAAACTCGATTCAATTTGTAATATCTTTGCTTGTAACATGATTTTAAAAGTCATGGTAGGGGCAGTGGAATAATCAGTCGAAGAAGATGATCACCTAATAGTTTATGGAACATATGATTAATTCTTAAAAGTGATTCCTCATATATACCCTTATTTCTTTAAAAACCCGTCACATTAAAAATTGGGAAGGAAGCCTTCAACCAGGCTCTTCACTTCTCGATGTTGGTAAGTATAAAGCTTCCACATCAGATAACACTAAAAAATCGTCGATGCTTTCAACGGTCGGAGAAGGATCACAGATAGATAAATGTTTATCGTGACGTCTCACGGCTCACTGTGCACTCAGTTTTACGCAGATTTTAATTGACTTTTTGATGGGTTGAAACTCATCTTTTAAAATCGAGGCGGGTATCACTATAAGAGTTTTTGAAGCTAGATTCGACTTGATCAGTAATTCGATTTTTTTGAACCAATCAAAATCCCCAACCAACATAAAAAACGATAAAAGATATCCTAAATGTTGATGATTCTGGGTTTGGTTTATCAATGATTGCGCTTCCGATTCGAGTTAGACGTACATAAATCGTCTGCCGACGCAGCCCAGAAGCTTAACAGGATAAAGAAGCGCCGAGTAAGAGATTTGGAATATGATTTTTTTTCCACTGCACAAAGGGAAAGACTGCGAAGTTTTAAAATGGTCAAGTTTGGACTAACAGATCGGTTTCATGTTTGGATTCGATGGAACAGAGAGGAGATCTTGGGGTTCAAGATGGGTTTGTTTAAGAGGTTTGAAGTTTATTTGTTGAGACTTTCTTTACCTAAAAACTCCCAAAGTAACACTATCAAGATTTTACCTTACATTCCCCAGTACATCCACACTTTTTCCGTACAACTAGTAAAAAGGAGTATCAGATCAAGATGAGATCACAACTAAAACTTCATGTTAAACTTTCATTTATGATTATACTTGGTTTAGTTGGATCACTTTCAACTGAAGTATATGGTACCACTTTAATCAAAAGAATGGAAGCCAGTTCTAGTAAAGAAGTGTTAAAGTTTGAAGACTTGACTCTTGGATCTGAAAGAGCATTAAAGAATGATCTGGGGGATCAAAGGGTTATGAAGTCTGATGAAGTTGAGGATTATGGAAGACCAAAATTGATGAAAGGTACTTCATCATTCTTTTAAAATATAACTCATATTCAAAGAAACTTATAGTCTTGTTGTTTTTTTTTTCGTAAAGATGATTTTGTTGAAGTTAAAATTTCGAATCCAACTTCAAATTTACCTCATATTACTCATCTTCAAACCATTGTAAAAGGAAACAAAATCGAATCTAAAAAAGTTAAATGGGATCAAGGCAATGGAAAAGGTCAAGGGTTTTGGGAATTGTAAGTCTGAATTTCTTCATTCATAAATTATCCTTTTTCTTCTTACTTAATCTTTTAATCGGGGGTTCTTGTGATTAGTTATGAAAAAGTTGGAAATCATCGTGAAAAACTCAGAAGTAAGTTGTTGTTGTCTACATCCAGACCACAAATCTGCTTCAAAGCTATCAATATTGATTATAAAAATGACTTGTTGGTTTTGTACATAGGTGCCCAAGGATTAGTTAAAGTAGAAATCAAAGGAGAAGATCCTTATTATCCAATCATGATTAAGTATCAAGTACCACAAAACCAATGGGTTGTTCAAGTTCCAGAAATCCTTCATGATGAGAACCAAGATTCATGGAGTTCACTCCAAAAGTAAGTAAAAAAAATCATCATCGTCATAAGACTTGATCTAGATAATCAATTTGTTGAATGTGTTCTTGGTATTCAAGGTTCTTTGATCAAGGGAAATATACAGCTGAACATAAGATGGAACTCTTGTTTCAAGGAGGTTTAGAAGGAGTAAGTTTCTTACCTTCAACTTGTATAAAAACATTTTTTTTCGTTGGATTGATCATTTGGTATTTTTATTATTATTGTAGATTGATCCAGGAGCCACAAGTTCAACATCTAAGTTTTTTCTTGCTAAACTCACTGCACCAAAAGGATACAAACTCAATATACCAACAGGTAAGTTTTCCATCCCAATTTCTTCTTCACAATCATAAAGCCTAACCAAACTTTTCTGTCATTTGAAGAGGAACATGCCAGTATTATTAAAATTCCAGTAGCTGAACTAAGTGAAACCATTCAACATTTTGAAAAAAATCAAGTTGTGGTACATGTTGGTTTATCACATTTAGTTGCAGGAATTTCATGGAATTCAATTAGGTTTGGATCTGAACCAAGAAGAAAAATTAGTGAAAGTTTAATGAAATCATTAGAAACTTTAAAACCTCTTAGACCAATTACTTCATTCCAAGATTTCAATCAAGTATCTAATAAGAAATGTAAGTGAGTTTTTCTAAAAGAATACTTTTTTTTGTTACCTCAGTTTTAGGAGTTTGATTTGTTTCTGTTGTTACTATTCACTGACTTGTTAAATTGGTTTGAACAACTTCATACTATGACCACTGGGCTTTCCTGAACACTTTCATGTTTTTTTTGGATCTTAGTTTCAGAAATGAAAAACATATACTCGGATGAAAACTTACCACATATTACTCAGATCAGAACATTAAATCCAAGTAAATTTTTATCAACTCTAGAAGCTGAATGGAAGTCTGGAGAGAAAATAAATCATGAGGTATTGTGAGTCAAATAGAAACTCTAATGTGTTACTTCTTCAGTTATTTATTTTCATGATTTTTTTTCAAAAATAGTGTACAGAGGCCCAGGAAAGATAATATTGGAATAGACAGTAAGGTTTCTATAGTAATGATCTGATGATTAATCAAAAGCTAATCTTCTAAATAATGATCAATTCTTAGGTGTTTCAGGTTTAGTAGAAATTGAAATCAAAGGAGAAAAACCTTATATTCCACTCTTGATCCAATACAGAGTACCTCTAAACAAATGGATTCTTGAAACACCTGCAGGACTTCGTGATGAAGGTGAAAGTCCCTTAGGAGCCTTTCAAAGAGAGTAAGTCATGAAATCAAATCAAATCATGAATGAATGATTTGAAAATTGAGTGATTTTTTTTGGATGGTTTGGGTAGGTTTCTTGAAGAAGTTGGAGATCAGATGGGTGAACATCATGAAGGTAGTTTAAAAAGTTTGTATGGCTCTGAGATTTTACATCAAAGTGGAATTCAGGCTGTAAGTTTAGTTTTTTAATGGATCATGAAATCTTTTGGTCTGTTGATCTGATTCTCTCTTTCTTGTTCTTTTTATAGAAAGATCCAAGTTCAAGTAGAGCAACTGCTCAATTCTTTATTGGAAAAGTTAAAGCACCAAATGTATATAAAACAAAAGAAACCAAACATGAAGCCAGTAAGTAAACTCCTTATTTTTCTTCAAGAAGTCTTATCAAAAGATCAAATACTTCTTTTGTTAATGATAATTTGATTGACTTGATGAAATGATGTTTGATTAGGTGAAAATATCAAAGTGATCAAAGTTCCAAGTGATTTATTAAACACAGTCATAGATTATTGGAAAGAAAATGATCAAATCATTGAAGCTGGTTTAAGTCAATTTAGGATTGGAATGTATTTAAATTCAAAGCATAAAGAACAAGAATTAAAGTCAATTGAAAGATTGAAACATGAGAATCCTGAACTCTTAAATCAACTTGAGAACATCTTGTTAGGTATAAATCCTCCTTATAAATCACGTTTGTAAGAATGTACATATGAGAATGTGATGAAATATTTTTTTGCTTTGGTTTTTTTGCAAAGGAAAGGTTGTAGATATATGGGAGCATTTGTTGTCAATTTATGGGTTTGAAATCGGATTGTTTCTCATATCATTATCATTCTAGAAAGTACAAAGAGTGATGTTAGAATCAAAGAAAGGATGAGTAGCTTTGTAAAGATCTCCGGTCACAACTTCAACCTTGCCGCTCGGAAACCTTGACCGCAATTTCGCGCCATCTCGAGTCATGGGCAGTGATGTGGACAAAAGTGGGCAAGTCATTTAATAAGATTTTCAAATGTGGAGATCTCAAAATATCAAATTGGATGATTTCTATTCAGAATCTTCTCAATTCATCATCAGACATACTCATATTCACAGATCCAGTTCAAATTGAAATTAATAAACTTTGAACTATGTAGAGATTCATGGTTGATTAAATATTTCTATAAAGTTGATGATCTGTTTGGATGAAGAACCAATTTGTTTTCTTCAACCGTTAAACCTCACTCTTAATCCAACTCATCAAAGAAAGAAAAAAACCAACACACCAACCAGAAAACTAGACTTAACCTTTCTCAATGTTTTCTTCATTTAAACCAAATGATAATCACAGGTAAAACCAAAGTTAACCATTCAGATTTTGAAACATATTAACAAGCTACTCATTTCAACTAACTACCTTTTTCTTTTCTTTTCTTTGATTTGAACTTTGATTTGATAGCTATAAATCACTCTCACCATGGGCATTTACAATCTCAACAATCTTAATCACCATCATTTTAATCACAAGAACCTTCATTTCAAACTTTTCAATTCCAATCACTTCAACAAGTTCTTCATCATCATCACCATCACCATCATTCTTTAACACCAACTTATTTCAAAACGCACTAAAATCCAACCCACAACCCATCCATTCCAATGTCAATACGTTAAATCAACTAACCGATCAATTACCATTCTTTAGTTCAATCCGAGTAGTTTCATTAAAATCAAGAACAGATCGAAGAAATCATATGAAAAAATTAAATTCATTTTTAGATTTAAAGATTAAATTTTCAGATGCGATTTTATATAATGATTCAAGAGTGAATGAGATTGTAAATCGAGTTGGAAATCAAACTAAAGCAGATAAAAAGATGGCAGAGGTTGGTCATGTGGCTTGTAGAATGTCTCATCGGATGGCTATTCAAGCTGCTGAAGATGATCATGATGAATTTACTTTAATCTTAGAAGGTTCTTCATCCCCCTTTTTCCCCAAACCCCATCCTCTTTATTCTACTTCTTATGGTTTATTGATCTTTATGGTTTTCTTTTTTTGGGTTCGGTTGGGGGTTTCCTTGCAGATGATGTGGATATCGAATCTGCTTTCAAATATTTATCTGGAACGATCCTAAGAGATGTTCCAAAAGATTGGGATATGATATTTTTTGGTCATACTGATTTTAGTGATGAATCAAGACACGGAAGGGATCCAAGAACATCAAATTTCTATATCTACAAATCCATCGAACCACAAGGTAAACCTTTCAATCCATCAGATCTTTTATCCTAAAACTGATCCATCCTACAATTGTTGAAATAGGAGGACACGGATACGCACTTTCACCTAAAGGACGCAAACTAATCTTAGATTTGTTATCAAATAAACGTCCCGAATTGTATGAAACAGATGAAGGACAACCGATTGATGAAATCTTTATGTATTTAGCAAGGTTACATAAAGCTAATTTGTTTTCAATCATACCGGATCTCATCATTCAAAAATCTTTGTTTAAATCAGATATCTTTAATACTTCGGCTGGGTTTAAGGATGGAATGCATGATAAAGTTTTATTGGATTCGGCTTTAGATCGGATTCGTTTACTTGATAATCGGCTTAATCTTACTACTCTTCATCCTTGAATTCCGTTTTTCTTTCTTTTTAGCGTTTTGGTTTTGGTTTTGGTTTTGGTTTTCGAATGGGGTTTCTTTTTTTTGATTAATTCTCATTTCTTTTGGATTTGGTTTGCTTACAAATCCAAATCCCTTCCTTCTTTGATTTCATCTCTCTCTCTCTCTCGCTTGCTTGCTCTTGTATTCTAAGACCTTCATTCCTCAAACCTTTCTTCTTTCTCTTTTTCTTTCTTTTCACTTTTTTGAATATTAAATTTAGGAAGGAATCTTTTTTATATATTGTTTTTTTAAATTTGCAATGTGATTTTTTTTTTGAAAAGAACAATTAAAGTACAACACGAAAACATTTTGAAATCATCTTGCGGGTTTTGTTTTAGAAACTTAACATCAATTCATTTTGAAAGATTCAAGATGAAGCTTGAGCTTGAGTTTTCTTCAAACTTCAAACGGTTTGCAGGTGCAGATTCTGCATGAGTTTCTATCAGTCTCAACTCTCACCATGTCTGTGTGTGACACTGACAGGTACAGTGTCATAAGATCTACTTCTTACTATATTTAAATATATTCTGCACTAATTTCTATCAACATAGATACAAATATAAGATAATAAAAACAGTTTTCTCTCTCTTTCCAAAGAAAACAAAAGATGATGTTATCACTACATACGTATTGCTGAAAGAATAAGAACTAGAGAGATTTGATAAGTAAAAGAGAAATCGAAGGGCAAAACTGCTTTACTATTCAGTCACATAATCCCCTGATATACATCAAAAACGCGTGAAGGAAAGTAAAGACACACGTAGCCAGAAGTCAAAGTGAAAATGATCCAACATAATCATACGCTAATCGATTCCTTTACCTCTCCACGGTAATCTCCTGTACTGTCCTCAATCCAGAGACCTTTATGATGTTCTGATCTTTTGCAAGAGTCATCAACACATTCAGAGGCACTTGTCTACTGTTGCCATCTTCTTTGAGAGTCATTTTACCATGAACTCCAAGCTTGGCAACTTTTGCCGAGGGTGTCCAGCACCTCACTGAATTGTTTTTTTGTAGGTTGGATTTTAGGTATTTGTATTGAGAAAGATGAGTGGAAAAAGTCAAAAATCATTCCAAGTAGTTGACTTTATTGTGGATGTTCCAAGGCACAGATGAAAAGTATTGAACTTACCAGTATTGATGGTTGTGTCGTAGGTGTTCCCCTTGGTATGTAGCACGTCTTCCATAAGACCAGCGATTTCTTATTGGTCATAAAATAAAAAGTTAACTTGATGTCAGAAAACTATAGATGCCACTCTGTTAATAATGTTATAACCATCTGGAGTGGAAGTGGATTTACGTGTTCCCATGAGATGATGTTGGAAAATAAAAAACTGGGCATTCGAGTAATCGTGGATCTGACTGACTAAATCGTCTATATTTTTTTCATCAAAGCTTGTAAAAAATCTTCCAACAGTCTCTTCGATTTCGTCTTTATTCCATGCTACAATAAGGAAGAGTAGTCAACCTATGAGTTTGGAACAATTTAATGCAATAGCGACTCACAAAATCTTTCAAACTCCTTCACTGGGTCTCTTCCCAAGAAATTTTCCCCTTCTAAAAGAAATAGTCCTCAAGTTATGCGTCTGTCTGTGGCAACAGCGTCTATTTGATTGAAATAGATACTCACTACCTTGCCCAATCAGAGCATGTTCAAACTGGTAGTAGTTACCCCAACGGAATGCCTGGGTCAAAAAAGGAGATGCGACGAAAAAAATAGCAAGAACTGTGATAGTTGATAGTCCAAAGATTCGGGTCATGATTCTCTTAGCCTAGGTAATACTAATGATGAGATCTCTATGTACATACACAAAGATTGATCACGGATGATTATTTATATTCAAGAGCAAAGTGAATCACCAATTACTTGATACTGCAAAAAGACCTGACGAGTTGGAGCCATGCTTCAGACTCCGAGTCAACTGGTGGCAGTGAACTCAAGCATCTATCAAGGTTTTGAGATGATAAATTTTACGTACGACTCACTGAGCTGAATACATTCAGACTACAATTTCGAAAACAGCTACAAGTCTCAGTTATGTGGAAATTCAAAATTGTCAAGTGAGAAGGCGAACAGAGATTTGTTTTTTTAAAAGAAATGTAGGGTCAACTTGCCTTATATATAATTCTTATCAGTCAGTTTAACTTTCATACAAGTCGAAAACAAGATTCAGCTTACGCTCATCACTTGTGTTGAAGTAATTCACCATTTAATTCATACTGGGAAGAACCATCAGGAGTTACAGCCGTGCTCCAGACTTGACCGAGTATGGAGCACTCAACAATCTATCAACTTTAAGAGATAATATTCGACTCACTGCGCTGAATCCCCTCAGGCTGCGATCTCTATCAAACCACCTACGGTGCATGTCTCATTCATGTAGATATCCAAGCTCGCTAAGTTGTGTTTGAACAAGAAGGCGCGAACATCAATATGTTCTGCAAAAAAAAAGTAGGGTCAACTGGCCTTACATCGTATCATCCAGTTTCATACAAGTGAAAAACAAGACTCAGCTCACGTCCATCATCTGCCTTGGCAAGCCTTTCAAGATAACTACTGATCACGTAACATCTTCAACACCGAAGAATTGATCAAATTGTATTTTACAGCTCACGCTTTACGCTGCATATATTTTGAAAGTGTGTAAAGCGTAAAGTTTAACTGTATACTCACAATTTTCAATTTGAAGCTTGTTCGAATCGAGCACAAGAATTCGTAGTTTGAAATATAGGGAGGTAAGTTTTATTCCACTTCTCTTCGAAACGAGTTTTGTGACCCATTTTTTATGCTCAATGTGGTGCGTTAGAAAAACGACGTCAAATTGAGATAAAAGCAAACTGGAACTTGAATTTTACAATCAATAAGCAGGATCTTAAGGCTTCGAAATCTGAGTTGACTAATCATTCTTCAGTAGCTTGTGTCTTGGTCATCTCTTTTATATCAATACCTTTTCTTGTTTTCAGGTTCAAAACATGTTTGGAAAAATAGATCGAGTGGGTGTAATTGATTATTTGCAAACATTCCTGTAAAATTTGATTGCAATGCAGTTTGGAAGGTGTTTTGCCATCTTTGCCATGCTTCCTACTTCTGACATTTCACATGTAGCACGCAAACTAAGATGTTGTGTTGATTTTGTGTAAATATCACTACAATTTCCATCAGATCCATGGAACCAGAGCAGATGATCTATGAGAGCATAAAGCCATTCAAGGATAGAATTCATCCAGAAATGGTTTGCTAGAGGCGATTTCTGTGTAGGAACATAAGGTTGATAAGTGATTACAGGATTACAATCCATTCCAGTGGATCCTATGGGTTGTCCTACTGTCTTTGTAGAAAGAAGTGTAGTTGTGGTGTCAGGTGGTCAACCATCATCAGGAGTTTCATGTCATTTTTTCAGATTTTTTGACCATTCAAAGGTTAGTGACACATTTTTGTAGGTCCTAGAGAGACAACCATATTCAACCAGAATTTGAGCCATAAAGTCTATGTAATTTTCTTCAAGAAACTTCACCAGTGCAAGCAATTGTACTAAGCCAACCTGAATGGTACAATTCCCTTTACTGTAAATTTTTGAAGTATGATTTCAAGGAAAAGAAAAAGTTGGTTAAAAAGGAAACCTCAAACTTTGAAGAGCAGCAGAAGAGCTTGAAATATCATATAGTACACTCAATTCATAGACTCTTGAGAATTAGTTGTGGCAGGAAGATTATAATCATCCAATCCATCATCACTGATTTGAGGTTTTTGTTCAGGAAAAATCCAACCCGCCAAGCACCAAAGCCAATCATAACATCTCTATACCGTCAAACATGATAATTTCAAGCTCAGAAAGAAAAAAATTGATGGTAATCTACATATGGCCATTGTTCCCTCATTAAATCCTCATACCTATCTATTAGTCAAGACCGGCTGCCATGGGCATCCTGTGCTTATCATTCACATCTCTCAAAGCTATCAAGCCCAATATATTTTAATTCCATATCCAGTCTTACAAGGTTGTAGAACCTCAGAATATATTTTATCCTCTGTTATATGACTTGGCACCTGTGGCACCTTCATCACTTGGACCTACTCAAATCATAGGGTGTACCCTACCATTGGAAGCCCTCTGTTACTTCCAATGCAGATTAGATCAACCTGCTGTTTGGTTTGTACACCCATATATATCATTTTAACCAATTCCAAAGTACAAAATTATCAGAGTACTGTCTATAGCCTCATGAACTCCATATACACATTTAAAAAAACTTGGTGTCAAAAGTTCTCAAAATTTTCAACTTACTACAATCCAGAGAATACACACAGTGCCCATGGGCAGGGCCCCCACTGTTAGAGGACCTCTGCTTAGGGATTCTGTGTCAGTCTTGTGTCAGGTTTGTCTCAGGTTTGTGTCTGAATAGTAGGAATTACCTCACAAAGTCAAATCAGTAGAGTACCCAAAGCCTAAATGACTGTGATCATGAAAAAGCACAGACCAAGTTACCTCCAAAACCTTGTTCAAAAAACTTGAGGGCATCCCATTCTTCAATCAAGATTGGTATGTGATGGTAGTATTGTGTCTGATAATTAGATGTCAAAACTACATTGAACTCTTGGGATTGATCAAAGTCAATTCAGAAATATAAGTAAGAAAGTTTAGGAAAGGTAGGAAAACTCACATTGCAGGCTGAGGCTGAGCACAGGCGGTCAGATACATCCAAATTGATGTTCCATTGCAAACCCCAGCAAGAGATGGGCTGAGGTCTGTGATAGCCAAGTTGAGACCACCTTGCTTTGAACTCGCCTGGACTTCCCCTGCTCTGGCATAAAAAGCCATTGAATGTCTTGGCCTGATAACAGATGTGAAGTGAGAAGCAAAGAAAAAAGAAATAGACATACACACATATCACTTTAAAGGGAAACAATGTAAAGACAAAGATTGTACTTACCTTCTGGCAGCCAAGTATGATAGTGAATACAGTGGTACACATCACCATCCATATCACCTTCATACTCTTTGCCTGAATTTATTCTGCACTGATACTTTTGAGGATTAAGATTGTAGTTGTCTTCATCTGAACAGTAAATTATTTTTGTTGTTGATATCAACTGATGCAACTTGAATGATTGGAATGGGCATTGAGAAGTTGGTGGGATTTGAAGGCTTTGATTTTGATGTCTTGATACCAAGCTACTTGAAGCCTTCTGTAACAACAAGCCTTAACCTGTGAGTATAATAACATACATGAATGTGTTCAGTGTCCAAAACAACTGGTTCTTCTGCATTATAAGCTAGACCTTCTGCAAGCTGCATTGCCATTGTGTTATTGTTTGAGCTAGATTTGGTGTTTTGAACTGATTAGGAAAAGTGGAAAAGGTGATAAGAACCAAGTCAAGTCAGTATATGTATGAAATGGGTACCCAAAGGCACGACGGTACATATGTGTTCCATTAAAATCAGGTAACAAGTGAGGAGAATAAAAGACCCGGTACACGATACGGTACCGGGCCAAAAACAATACAACAGGGAGAGATAGATGTGAAAAAGTTTTCACCATTGAATTATCTCACACTCACCATTTGGTAGATCATCGCATATAGCATCAAAGTTGATAAAATAGCATAAAGAAAAATTAAAAACATTAAGATTAAAATTTTTATTTAATTTAGAGATTGAACAAAGAAGATCAAACAAAATGGCAGCTCAAGAATTCGCTAATCAGATGGATGAATTAATAGTAAGACCTAGGGAAGAAATTGAAGGAAACGACACGATCATAGATGAACGAGAACCAATTAGAGGTCGAACGAGGTCAGGAATGGTGAGACAAAGTGATAGAACAACAAACAATGATATCGAAGAGATAAAAAGACAAGAAGTTAAGAAGAAAACAGTAAGTAAGAAGAAATCAGGGAAAGGAAAAGAAGTAAGAATAGAAGATGAGGAAGAGGTAGATATTGTACTCGAACAAGGAGATGAAGATGGACCTCAAAGAGAAGAAGATGATCATGTAGAAGCACATCAAGAGGAAAGTACCGTAGGGGTATTGACAGGTAGAGGTAAGATAAAACATTCATTTACATCTCTTATATTAAATCTTCATTCGTTATCCGATAAAACCCAGATGGAGTTTCAACCTTTTCATGGAACCAATATACTAAAAGAGAATAAACCATCAAACGAAATATATCTCGTGACGAGTTCGTGTAGAGTTGAATGATGCGTGGCTGTGTTGAAGTGATAAAGAAGTGTTGAAAAGATGTGTTATCGTGTTAAAAAGATGTGTTATCAAAGAAGAAGTGTTAAAAAGGGTTAAAGAAGAAATACTAACGAACGAAATATGTCTCGTGATGAGTTAGGATAAAGTTTGAATGATGCGTGGTTGTGTTAATGTGATAGAAGATGTTAAATCAAAGAAGAAGTGTTAAAAAGAGTTAAAAAGACGTGTTATAGAAAAGAAGTGTTAAAAGGAAATGTTATGGATATTGAATCCTAATAAAAATAAGGAAGAGACGTGTTAAAGATGCATTTTGATTGTGTTAAAGAGAATTGATAAAGATAAAATACTTACAAGTTGTGTTTTTCTTTGGTTTTGTTTTTGATGGGACTATAATTGTATAGGAAGGATAGTGGAAGATATGACTGAATCGCCATACGTGGAAATTTCGCATCAAAAGTGGATTCACAACATAAAGACAACCTTCATGAGATCAAACATAGGTCAGTATAAAATACTAGTTGATGGTTATAGAACTTGGTGTGAAGAAGAACGTACGAAGATGAGAAGAATTGAATTACAAGAGTGGAACGTGGATGAAATAGAAAATGATGTTAACGAACCAGAAGCAATTAAAACAAAAGAAATAACGAAGTCAAAAACTGAGGTCAATACGACGATGGAAGAAGGAGAAGAAGTAGGACATGCGATGACCAGTCTGTCAGAATACTTCCACAAATTAATGGTAAATAAAACTATACACGTACCAGTCTCAATTTTCTGTCCAAAGTGGTTACTATTAGATGCATCATATATGAGAACGAAAAGGGTGAAGGCAACGACTTGTGGATCAGATGCTATAATATATAATGGTTACCCGGTAGTAAATGAGTACAGATTAAGTTTTGCGGAATGGTCAGTTAGATATAATTTAATGTTGAAATATCAAGAATTAAAATATGATACGTTAGAAAGTCAAAAGCACTCACCGATAGCTCCAAGATTGGCTGCTCATCGAGATAATGTACTACAACTACAAATAGAATGTGATGGTAAATGGACACCGGCAATGAGATACGATGTAGCCCATAGAAGAAACGTTTGGGAAAATCGATTGGCGAACGGAGCAATGGCAGATGTGGGAAAGCTGAATAAGAGATTGGCAGAACAAGCAGAAAGAGACGCGAAAAATTATAAAGATTATAAGTAAGTGGAGAAAAGAAAAAAAAAAAACATAGAGAGTGACATAACCTAACGAATTGTGTTAATTGTGTGATGAAGTTATATCGATAATCCGTTTGTTATAGGAGGTCCAATGCAGAATATCAGCCCATTCGATGGATCCTATAATCCTAATTGGGATACCCCAGGAGTGACGATCGATAATCATGCGGAAATGTTGACAGGAAGAGGAGTTGCAGTATGGGGAAACCAACAGAATGGAAACCAAGGTGATACTCAAGCAAGCTCTAGTCGCGGGAAAGTATCAAAACCATACAGAGGTCAACATTTTAATCCTTATCATAGCAAAAGTTATCAAGGAAATAATCAAAATTGGGGAAATGCTTACCCTTATAATCAAAATCAAAATAACCAATTTTACCAACACAACGGTAATAATCAACAGTATAATAGGGGTAGGGGAAGAGGCGGAGCGATGAGCGTGGGAAGAGGAAGACCAGCGATAGGACAAGGGAGTTTTAATAAATCGATGGCGAGACCAGGTCAAACGAGTAATAGTAATGGAGTTGGGGGTTCTGCAACAAATGTTACTAATAATCAGTGAGTTAGATAAGAGACGTGGAACAAAATTGAACATAGGAATTGTTGACTTACAATCAAAGATATGATGTGTTGCTACAAACTTGTTTTCCTTCTCATTTATATTCCCTATATAAATCCGTCTTTCTTACTGAAATTATGAGGAAATTATGGAAAGCACTTGTGAACTAATGATTGTATGTGTCCTTTTGGTTTGAATTTAATGTACCTACGAATGATTGCTATGATGATGCAGGAAAAGAAATACATGCCAACAATTTGTACATCCAGAACCGGAAGTGACCAATTTAGAGTTGAACTTAGTAAGAGAAACTGAGACAAGTAATCCAAAAGCGATAAAAGAAAACGGAGAGATAGAAGACACGTACATAGTCAATGACCCGGATATATTGAATTATTGGCCTCAAGCAGCTAAATGTGAAATGAAATTAAAAGAGTGGGAAATCTTATTACAGGAATGCGGATTGATGGATAAATGGGAAAAGATGTGGCAAGGCATTAATGATGGATTTGATCAAGGGATACCTGAACATTACATAGAGGGTTTAAAATGGTTTACACCAGATAATCATAAGTCAGCGTGGGCAGTGCAAGATAAGATAATGAAAAACTTATTTAAAGAAAGGAGACAGGGGAAAGTGATAGGACCATTTACACACGAAGAAGTATTTAAGAGGTGGGGTTTCTTTCGATCCAACCCAATGGGTAGTGTAGTCAATAATGACGGGTCATTGAGAATGATCAATGATTTGTCTTACCCAAGAAATCACAAGAATCTTGACGGGAAGAAGGAGAGAAAACGGAAGGAAAGAAATGAAGAAGATAAAACTTTAAACGATGAATCAGATGAAACAGAAGATGAAATTGATACTTATTACGATAAAGCTAGTAGATTATTAAAGAACTTGAATTATGATAAAGAAGAGAAAGAAAATATACGCTCAGTAAATTCTTACGTGGATAAGACGGAATTCACGACAACCTGGGATGATTTTAAGGTCGTAGAGAGTTATTTCAAGTTAAATGTAGGAATTATTTTATGGTTAGCAATTGTGGATTGGAAAAAAGCTTATAGACAAGGTCCAACGAAGAGGTCTCAATGGAAATACTTAACTATAAAAGATTTCCGAGGATACATATGGATAGACCTGAGGATACCATTTGGTGGTGTAGCAGGTTGTGGAACCTTTGGTTGGATGGCTGATGCATGGAAAGAGATAATTATGTCATTGTTAAATATAGAAGTGGTATTCCGTTGGGTAGATGACAATTTATTTGTCAAGAAAGAGGGGAGTGACTTACAAATGGAAACAATTCTTCAAATTACTAGAAACCTGGGAGTAGAATCGAATGCGGAAAAATTTTCAGATTGGGCGCTGGAACAAAAATATTTGGGTTTTATTTGGAATGGGAAAGAACGGTCAGTGAGAATGCCTGAAGAAAAATTAAAAGAAAGAATAACAAAATTAGAGGATTTACTTACTATTGATAGGAATAAGGGATCAAGTCCCTGATCAGATAACAAACAAAACAAATACTCAGTCTAAAGGATATCAAGAGGCAGACGCTGAAGTGATAGGATAGTGATGAGGTATTTGGTTTTGTATGAATGAAGCTTGATGAATGCTAATCATGTTAAACATATAAGCAAGAAAGAAAACAAAGATTCAAATACTATCATACCTGATCAGATAACAAACAAAACAAATACTCAGTCTAAAGGATATCAAGAGGCAGACGCTGAAGTGATAGGATAGTGATGAGGTATTTGGTTTTGTATGAATGAAGCTTAATGAATAAGGAAAAGCTTCTGAACAATCTGATCATAGAACATATAAAGCAGCGTTACAAATGGTGGTTAGGTTAAAAATCTCGTGTGTATGAAAATGGAGATAATACTAAACAGGACATAACATAACATGTAATTATAACAGTGTAAGTAAATGTAGTTATCTCCAACAGCCCCCCCTGCTCACGAAGATTTGCACAGGCGTAACCCCAATTTTTGAGAACAAGTAGACAATATTTGAGGTCCCACAGGCTTTGTAAGAATATCGGCAGGCATCTCTTTAGTTGAAATGTGTGAAACCGTGATTTTTCCTTCCCGGATGAGCTCTCGAATAAAGTGATGACGAATGTCGATGTGTTTCGAGCGGTTGTTGACCGATGCTTCGTTGCAGAGAAAAACCGCACCTTGATTGTCATTAGATATGGGCAGCAATACTGGAACCGTGATCGTCGCCCCTTCAATTAGGTGTTCAAGAAGCCTACATAACCATAACCCGCGTTTAGCACAATCACCAATGGCAAGATACTCCGCCTCAGTTGTTGATAAAGTGACTGATTGCTGCCGCCGGCTCTTCCAAGACACAACAGACCCAAATACATAATAAACAAACCCAGTAGTTGACCTCCTAGTATCAATATCTCCAGCATAATCCGCATCAGCAAACCCCTCAATCATCTTCCCAGAATCTCCATCACCAAACACAATTCCATAATTTAATGTCGATTTTACATACCGTAACAGATGTTTTACCACAGCCCAATGAGTATCATTATGCCTTGAGTTAAACCTAGCCAAGTAGCTCACCGCAAACCCAATGTCAGGCCTCGTTTGCACAGATAAGAAATTCAGCATTCCAACAGCAGCCCGGTATTCTTCAATTTCATTTGATTCTTCTAAAGTTGGTGTCGATAGATGAACGTTTTGCGGTAAAGGTGTTTTGACGCCATTGCAGGACGACAATCCGAACCGTTCGAGGATGTTTTTGCAATAGTGAGCCTGATCTAAAGTTATTGTTTTCTTGATTCTGTCCCGAGTAATGTGGACACCAAGGTGAAGAGACGGATTTTCATTCCATTTGAATTTATAGTGTTGCTTGAGATCTTCACGGAATTTTGATACCATAGCCTTGTCATTGGAGAAAACCATACCGTCGTCGACGTGCATCGGAATGTGAATAAAAGAATTTCCCGATCGTAGAGAGTAAAGAGAACTATCAACAGGGCACACTTTAAAACCCAAAATTTTCATCTTCTTGTTGAAGTCATCATTAAATTCACGATGCGCTTGATATGTTCCGTATAAAGATCTCAATAGTAGCATAACGTGTCGTGGTTT